AAGTGGGCCGAGACTAGATATGGCAGAGCCTTTCATAGTCTAAACTTGGCTCACTTTGTAAACTTTTATATTTCTTAACCCGCCAAGCTTGACATGGCTGGGCTTGGATTGCCTAAGATCAGCTCACTTTAAAATTGAGCGTCAATAGTAGGTCCAAAAATTGAACCCTGCTTGATCTCATGTTAAGCTTAGCCCTAGTTTGGGTGGAACAAATATAGCGATCCTCAGTTTGATTTGGCACTATTGACACTCCTAGTGCTTTGGCAAGTGGAAATCATATAATGACTTTTTTTTTTTGCAAATATAATGCTTTGGCAAGCGGTAGGCAGTAATGGACTCTATTACTTATGAAAAATTTTATTATAGTCTACACTAACTACTTGAATAACTGCTTAATAAATCTAGTAGTTGAGGGTTATTATCACTTTATCCCTTAATATTTGGTGGTACTATGAATTTTTCTCGGAACATTACTTTTTAGTCACCTTATCCTCAAAACTAATGGTCAAACTTAATGGAGTCTATTAATTCAAGTGAAAAGACATGTTTAGTTCTCAAAATTATTATCACTTTACCCCCATAAAACTATAGCCTCAATATCAATCTACCTCCTAAAGTTATTTTTCAGGCAATTTATCCCACTATTAAACAAATTTAGGACGTTAAAAAACTTTAAAAGAAAAGTAGCCTCCTCTTTATATAATAAAAATAATAAAAAACTTAAGAGTGCCTCTTCTCCTTTTTAGTATCAAGAAAAAAAGGTCAAAACATTAATTTCTTTCTTCTTGACAATCTTGTTAATATTGAAAAAAATTAGAAAGATAGGGGACAGAGAAAGGGAGAAAACTCAATTCTTTTTTTTTTTAATACAAATAAGAAAGAATTCAATGATTTTATTATTTTAAAATTACTTTACTTTTTAGTTTACCACCCAATTCCAATCCTAATCCCGATGATGTTAAAATAATATGATAACATTAGATTCTTCCTTACTTCCTTTCCTAGCAAAATCTAATTTTTTTGCTTCTTTCTCTGCTATCTCTTTTTTTTTTTTTTCCTAGTGTGAATAAGTATGAAAAAAGAAATTTAAGAAAACTCTTTTATTTTTATGTTTTTGGAACTCTTAGAGTGAAAAAAAGGAAGAATAGTCATTCCAACTTTTTTTATTTTTAATTATATACAGAAAAAGGGGTAAATACATTTAAAATTTTTTGAACATATTGGTTAGATTAACGATGAGGTAAAATGTCTAAAAAATAATATTAGAGAGTAAAGGGATAAAATGATAATAACAATGTAGTAAAATGACTGTATCACTATAATTCAGGTTTGATGAAAAGAGCAGTTTTCTCTGTATAGATAAATGGTTTGGAGTCAAGTCTACGCCTGACTGTGTTTTGCATAAGTTGTGTTTTGAATCTGTCAGGAAATTGCTTTGAGAATGACTCGTAATGGTGGGGTAAGGAGTAAAAAAGAGAGAGCTAGTCGTGTGAATTGCAACAGTCGACTGATTCGGGGAGGATTTGACTTGGTAATTGGAATTGATTTATAAAAGTTGATGACAGTCAATTTTTATTAACCAGCTTCTTCAAAGCTAAAGTCCAAGGGCTAATTAAGAAGATTTGGCCCCAGAGCAGGGACTTGTCTTTTTAGGGACCATGGGATAGAGTAAAAGATTATGCTTGATTTCTCAAACCATTTACAGACAGTGGACATGGACATAATACAGAATTACATTGTACCATCTTGGAAGACACCACGAAAGTTGGTAGAACTCACAGATAAATTATACAAGTAAGAGTTTGGAGTTTGTGTTTATGATTCACGAATGGCAAATTAAATTGATCTGAGGACTCTACGAAGCCACTATAAATATGGACTAAATTGACTAAATTCACTGTAAATATGTTAATTCCAGCCAGTTGTAAATTGTAATCTAGGTATGCTTGCCCTGAACTTAGCACATTGGCCATTTGTGAAAATGTTTTATTTGCCCTTGTCGGAATCAATTAGTTTCAGAAGTCTGTTGTTTATGTTTAATGAACTCATTAGTGAGTTCAGTGGCAAGTTTTCCTGCTTGCTCAATGTTTGGATACCGAGGTTCCTAGGTTAAAGTATCAGATTAAAGAAGAAAATTATAATTAATCATCAAATGATGGCTGCACATTAATATATATATATAAATATATATATATATATATATATATATATGTTGATTAACTAAGCACACAACCATGAGACTCGAAAGACCTTGAAACAACTTATGTTACTACCAGAACAATGCCTCATTAACATCACAGTCATGGTCATATCATAAAATTTTATCCTTATAGATTCAAGAAATTGCACCGTTGGTTTCAAGATAAGCACAATTTTGATGAACCGTGTTAATGTGAGTTCTTACTATGGTGCCAAATTGCTTAGCCCTTTTTTTCCACGAACAAGGTTGAGCAGCTAATTAAAGTATGTGGCTCCTCCTGTAACAGCAGAGATTCAATAAATGTAATTGACTATAACATGCCAATTGGTGAAGTCCACCCCGTAAGTCTTCCTCTCTTCAGGACCACATGCTGCTGATCAAAAACAGATTTTGGTAGTGTTAGTCTCCCTTGCCTGCATTTCCTGTCTCAGGATTTCCTGAAACATTTTAAAAGATAGTTTAGCTCCCTTTGAATTCTCAATAGTTTAGTTTGGGACCAATTGTAAAATGTCGTACTCAAAAAGTCTCCCTTGCCTTAATTTACTTTTTGTTGTCCGGGTTCAGCTCTGATAATTTTGTCGGCAACATTTGCTACATACAATAGTTTTGTTGAAGTACCACTAGGGATGACAATGGGGCGAGGGTGGGGCGGTGGACATCTCCCCCAACCCCCACCCCGTTGCATTTTAATTCCCCCTGCCCCGCCCCGCTTCTCCCGCGGGAGCACCCATGGGATTAAAAAAATTTTATTATATAATTTCATTATAATTAAATTTGAGTAAATAATCAAGTACTAAAATATCAACACATCACTAAATTATTATTCATTGTAATTTCACAATTGAAACTCATAAAAATAGTTAAACAAAAGTTATTTGAATACAATCTAATATGATAAAACAAATATAACTAAAATAATCAAGTTTTCACTTTTGATACAAATACAATCACTAAATTATTATTGTGTTTCTTTTAGAAAAAACTGTTATTGTGTTAAGTGTAGTTAGGAATTTAACATAAATGTATTAATAAATTTAGTATAAATAATTAATAATTTTTATTAATAGACATGTATAATTGATAGTATAATTGATAATATCATTATATATATAATTATGTACATATATATATATATATATTTTTTCAAACGGGTGGCGGGGCGGGGGTTTCTAAACGGGGGGAAAAATTCTCCCCCCCCGGCCCCAATGACCCCCCGCGGGTGCCCGCCCCCGTTGTCATCCCTAAGTACCACACGTCCGTTTGCTATAGATTCTGTTGGATTTTTCTGCTCAACCTAAGATTCATTTTACGGTGCAATTGTTATTTTAATTTTCTTACACAGCAGTAACAACAAAAAGATTATAGACTAAAAGGACTTCATTTTTAGATGTATTACCCATCAAAACTACCATCAATGGATTTCAAAGTCAACACTCCAAAAAAATATTTTCCAAGTCAACTAATCATCAATCATAAAAGGAAACGCTTTGAAGAGTCAACAGAACAACTGTGCAACTCTGTAGCCAAGAAATACAGTAAACTAGTGTGGAACTAAAATACATTTTGAATCAATGACACAATTAGTTAATTTTATCTTGTCAAGCTCTTCATAATTATGCAGTTATTTTTTTTTTAAAATTAGAAGCCACTAAAGTTACAAGTGGTAATTGCTAACTACTCTAAGTTATCTGAAACTTGTAGCTTTGTACAGCAATACTCACTATATTAGCACTTGTTTAATATATCTAAAGTTTTCTTCTAAAGTCATCTGATCATTCCGTCTATTGGTTTTACCGGTAAAGAATGGTTAGAGTATTAGCTACAAGTATATTTTAGCGAATTATCCATCACTCAGTACAATTTTCCTGTACAATAAAATAAATGCATCTTCGTCCTAAGTATCAATGGATATGGAGCCCAGTATGAAATTGCTTGGGAACGAAAATACTACAAAATCTGACTGAAATTGTTTGATGAGAATTTCCTTCCATCAATAAATCAAAAGAGATTCCAAGTCAACATTCAACTTGGTTGGCCCTTTCTGTGTGGAAAAAGAATGAAGAAAAGAGAAGAATAGAATTGTAGGAACCAAGAATAAAAACAAGATAAGATATTGAGTTGTCTTCTATTAGTACCATATATGTTTTTGTGGGGCAGAATTGCTAAGTAGGCCATAGCTGCATGTTTCTGCCGCACGGCAGAAACTTGCACAATCACACATTTGGACTGGCTTTTGGTGTGGACTGACCATTCGGGCATATACTTACTAGTTTTAATTAAAAATTTACTAAAGTTAATATTAATTAGTTTAATATAATATTTAAAAAATCGCTAGAAAACTTGATCTGTTACTAAAGGTAATAGAAACTTATAATAGTAGATTTTCTAATATTGTTATCATAACTATAGGCACAGTAGCATTGTCCTTAAAATCATTCTTTAATCAGTCACATTCTTTCAATTTCAGTCTTTCCATTATAATCCTTGGAGTTTTTCTTTTATAAACAGATAACGTGGGTTTTGGTATCAAAGTCTTGGGTAAGGCATCTGATTTATAGTTGAGAGTTCTGTCAATTGGGGATGTGCTAGAATCAACCTTTGCTAAACAAAATTGTTCTTTTCTTCGATTTCAGTTCCACTCATTCCGGCAAAAAGTGTCATTGGCATTGCCATCTTGTTTGCTTTCATCGTTTATCGGTGTCATCGGAGGCATTTATCGAGGTATGATACAATAGAAGATTTCCTACAAACAAACAGCAGACTCATGCCCATTAGGTACTCATAAAAATTAATGAAGACAATGACAAAAAATTTTGAGGAGAAATTAGGTCAAGGAGGCTATAGTTTAGTTTACAAAGGCAAATTGCGCAGTGGAGGTGCAGTTGCTGTCAAGATGCTGAACAAATCAAAAGCTAATGGACAAGAGTTCATCAATGAAGTTGCAACTATTGGAAGAATACACCATGTGAACATGCTTTAGTGTATGATTATATGCCAAATGGCTCTTTGGACAAGTTAATTTTCTCAAACTGTCAGAATGGTTCTCCATTGAGTTGGAAACAAATTTGTGAGATTCCAAAGGGGGTTGCTTGTGGGATTGAATACTTGCATCAGGGGTGTGATATGCAAATTCTGCATTTTGATATTAAACCGCATAACATCTTACTCGCTGAGAACATTGTTCCAAAAGTTTCAGACTTTGGACTTGCAAAACTTTACCCGATGCAAAAGAGTATTGCAACTCTTACTGCTGCGAGAGGAACTTTAGGTTACATGGCCCCGAAGTTGTTCTATAAAAAGATTGGAGGAGTCTCATACAAGATAGACGTTTACAGCTATGGAATGTTACTAATGGAGATGGCAGGAAGGAGGAGAAATGTGGATGCGCATGCCAAGCATTCAAGTCAAATATACTTCCCTTCATGGGTATATGACAAATTCGATCAGGTGGAGGAAATGGAAATCGGAGATCATGCAACTGAAGAAGAAAAAACGATTACAAGAAAATTGATTTTGATTGCATTGTGGTGCATATAGATGACACCTGATGATCGTCCTTCAATGAGAGAAGTTCTAGAAATGCTTGAAGGTGATTCTAATGACCTAAAATTGCCCCCTAAACCATTGTTTTACCCTCCGGATTCACCCATATCCATGCAAAGAAGCAGTAATAGGTGTTCTTCTGACGAGTCAACGGTGCCCCTGTGTAGCTCTGTTGCTTTAGAAATAGAGCAGATGGATGACTAAGTAGTACTTTCAGTGAAAGCTTTGTCTAGTAGATTTGTCTTTCAAACTCTTAAATATGCCACCTACTAACAGATAACATGGCAAACTGAAATGTCAGTTTGATATCAATAAAACTGAAGGGTAGCACCTTGATATATGCTTCATATATAGTAGAAATACCAGCATCAATCTTTGTGTTTACCTTAACAATTTCTACAATTGTGCTCCAGTACATATTCTCCAGTACATATTTTTTTTCTTAAAGTATTATGTTATCTAAAACGAGCAGTATATCTAAATATTTCCTGCAAATTCATAAGATTGATTTTTTCCAGTAATGTTGCTGTTACTTGTCAAATCGTTAGTTTAACATAACCTTTAGCCTTTTTTCTTTGTCCTTGGATTTTCCCTTCCAAACGTGTCTTTCCTTTTCATCAACATGCTGGATTATGAAAGGCCACATCCAGGTGGATGGATCTGTGTTTTTTCCTTTCCTTGTTAGACCTGAGCTGACAGCATTTAGTTTTTAATGCATTGGTTAACCAGTTTCTATCATTAGAGCCCAAATCTCAAAAAAAAAAAAAAAAAAAAGTCTGGTTCCCAGAATTCTACGGGTTTGTTAGTCAAAATTTCCATCGACAACTTCAATTCGTGGACCCAAAAATCGATAGTACAAAAAAGAATGACTTGACTAATTAAATCTTGAAATTTGATATTTACTATGTGATATCAATGAAATTTTGCTCAAGATACACTTTGGTCAACACCAGTATGACAATTGCTCCCAACTTTCCCTCCTTTGCCTTTGGTTACCGCATATCATTTACTCTTTTTTTTTCATAGTTGTATATATGATTACAATCGAAATCCACTGGGATGGATACAAGCGAAGTGCATTTGAACATCTTTACAAATAATTCAATAATAACACAGAAAAGGATGAGAACAACAATGTACACATAGTAAGAAAAGTATTAGCTTACTTGACAGACTCTTGAACTTGGCAGCGGATAACATATTCTTCACTTGTAAGAGTTAGCTGATTCATGAACCAACTACCTTTAGAGCTCTCATTGGATACAGGTCAAAGGATCAAATCTCTCGATTTACATTCTTCTCCAAGATTTCTTGAAAGTTTCACTAGCGGTTGTGGAGATATTTGTTTGGTCCGATGGTAGTTTAGTTCTATATAGCGAATCTATGTAGTAATTTTATATATAAAGAGATAATTTTAGGAATTTGAAGAAGGAGACATAAATCAATATTCCAACTTTGTAAATGGTCTAACATAAGGAACTTTACAAAACATGGGGATGGAAGGGGCAAATAAGTATTTTTAGAAAATTGAGGGTGTGCAAATAAAGTGTAAAAATAAAAAAACTACAAAATGTTAAGACTATTTTACAATTTTACAAAACTTAAAGGGTGCAATTAAATATTTTTAAAGAATTGAGGGGTGCAAATAATGTGAAAAAGTGAAAGCACTACAAAATATCAAATCTGTTTTATAATTTCATAAAATTTGAGGGAGGCAATTGCCCACCCTCAAATACATGTGGCTTTGCCATTGATTATGCTGCCTGCACTATATATATATATATATATATATATATATATATATATATATATATATATATATATATATATATATTATGTGTGTGTGTGTGTGTGTGTGTGTGAATTGGATTCCCGACTCCCTTAAGGCAGAATAATATATATGGGATAATATCAGAATCTTCCCTAAGGTTTCTCTTAATAGTACTTAGCACCCTTGAGATTTTAAAAATATCACCTACCACCCTTAGTAAGTGCAAAATGACTGTATTAACCCTCACTTTATACATTACTCACATATTAAATAAATGGAGTTAAAAAAATTAAAGAAAAAGAAATAAAAGTCACTTTCTTTACTTCCCCCTCTCTCCAACAATCTATCTTGTCCATTTTTTTGGATGACTATATGATTTTTTTTTTTTGTAAATTATTGTAAACTAAAATTTATTTATTTGTTTTTCTTTTGCAGTAGTTGTGGTAAAGAGGTTAGAAATAAATAGCATTGAGAAAAAAATTGATTTTGATTATATAAAGCTAAATTGGGACTAATGTATTTCTTCATAGGTATCTATTTTTTAATTTTTTCAAATTTATATTTTTAGGAGTTATGACTTTTTGATGTGGTGGTAGTATTTAAAATTGTTTTTTGGATGGTGGTTTTTAATGGAGTAAACAAGTGGCTTAAGAGCATTTTTTTATTTAGCAAAAGGAACAAATGGGTGGTTTAGGATTTTTAAAGATTTTGTCATATAGATAACGAAAATAAGGGAGGTAAATGATATTTTAAAAATTTTAGAGATATTAAGTGATATTAAGAGAAACCTTAAGGGAGTTTTCTGATATTATCCCTTCATTTTTCTCTTCACTTCTTTGTTCTTCCTTTGAAACCTTTTTATCTCTCTCCTATCTTTTTGTCCTTTTTGATTCTTCATCTTCCTTGTTTTTCTTTTGTTTTACCCCTTTAGATTTAATTCAACTCAACCTTGTTTGCCTTTTTTTTCATGAAATTCATGTGACTTAGATTTAAATATATTAAAGCACATAACGTTAAATTGGCATTAACGTACAACTGGGACTTGCCTTTTTAGGGACCATGGGACTATAGTAACGGATTTTGCTTGATTTCTAAAACCATTTACAGACAGTGGATAGTGGACACAATAAAGAATTACATTGTACCATCTTGGCAGACACCACGAAAGAGTTGGTAGAACTGACGGATAAATAATACTACCCAATTCGTACAAGAGTTTGGGGTTTGTAAATATGTTAATTTCAGCCACTTATAAATTGTAATCACATTATAAGAACATGTCTATCATATATTAATTCGATTCGTATATTATTTCCTCCTAAAATTCTAAACTGCAACTGTTTAAAACATAGGGAACCATATTTATCACATTATCAAACTTTAGGGACAAAATATGCAATGTAAAACTTTTGAATATTGTTAAGGGATAATTGCAGAAACCTCCCCTGACTTTTATAGCAATAGCATTGACCTCCCCTATCAATTTTGAAATAGCACTAACCTCCCCTATCAAAAGTTGGAGGCAATTTATTAGGCAAAAGTGGGTCAATTTACTAAAGTACCCCTGACATGATTTAATTTTATCAAATGAATGTGATGAGTACTTTCATCAAACCCAACAAAATATTTGTTAATAAAAATTACACTAAATTAACTATTTCTGCATAGTTTAACTAATTAAATAATTAACTAAATAACTAATAATCTAATTAATTAATAACTAATTATCTAATTAACTATTAACTAATTATCTAATTAATTAATTAACTAATTAACTAATTAACTACCTAATTATCTAATTAAGTAATTAACTAATTAACTAATTTTTGTTTATCTAATTAACTAATTAACTAATTATCTAATTAACTAAAGTTGTTGTCTATTCGAAACTAACAAACTATTTGCATGTTAAACTAATTAACTAATTAACTGCTTAACTAATTAACTAATTAACTAATTAACTAAAACTGTTGTCTATCTTAAACTAACAAACTATTTGCATGTTAAACTAATTAACTAATTAACTGCTTAACTAATTAACTAACTAATTTTCCAATTAATTAATTAACTAATTTTTATTTATCTAATTATCTAATTAACTAATTAACTAAAGTTGTTGTCTATCCAAAACTAACAAACTGTTTGCATGTTAAACTAATTAACTAATTAATTGCTTAACTAATTAATTAATTAACTAAAGCTGTTGTTTGTCCGAAACTAACAAACTATTTGCATGTTAAACTAATTAACTAATTAACTAACTAATTATCTAATTAATTAATTAACTAAGTAACTAATTTTTGTTTATCTAATTAACTAATAACTAAAGCTGTTGTCTATCCGAAACGAACAAACTATTTGCATGTTAAACTAATTAACTGCTTAACTAATTAACTAACTAATTATCTAATTAATTAATTAACTAATTAACTAATTTCTATTTATCTAATTAACTAAAGCTATAGTCTGTCCGAAACTAACAAACTATTTGCATGTTAAACTAATTAACTAATAAACTGCTTAACTAATCAACTAATTAATTAGCTAACTAATTAACAAACTATTTGCATGTTAAACTATATGCAATACGCATTACCTATTTAAAGTATCGGCTCTTTATAGGTATTTTACTTTCAAATATTTAATTTATGATAAAAATATCAATGTTTGTAAGTAAAATTCAAAAAATTAGTTAATTTATGATAATTAGTTAATTAGTTAATTAGATAATTAGTTAATTAGTTAATAATTAATCAGATAATTAGTTAATAGTTAATTAGTTTAACTATTAACTAATTAGATAATTAGTTAAGCAATTGTCAAGCAAATATTAATTGTCAAGCAAGAAGTGGGCAAAATTGGAAGAAAATTCTTATCTCACTTCTACAAAAGCTGTCAGGGAGGTTTCTACAACGAATTGTTACTGTTCAGGGGAGGTGAATGCAATTTCAAAACCTAGAGGGGAGGTCAGTGCAAATGTCAGAAATCTCAGGGGAGGTTTCTGCAATTATCCCTATTGTTAATGTAGAACTGCGGATATTAATGTGCCAACGACCATGTGGTTATCAATGAAATACAATAAATGGGAAAATGGCACAACAATCTTAATTATGATTGATCAATAATTGAACTGACAAGAATCATACTTGCCCTGAACTATATAGAACTTAATGTATAAGTTTTATAGAAAAACTTATCTTAATTATAAGTTTGGGGTATACTTGCCCTGAACTTAGCACATTGACAAGTCATAAGACAGGCAATTCAACATTTGCAAAAATGTTTTATTTGCCCTTGCAGGAATCAAGAAGTCTGTTGTTTATGTTTTTCCCTTTTGCAATTTCTTTATTTCTCTTTGAGAACAGAATTAATGAGTTCAGTGGCAAGTTTTCCTGCTTGCTCAATGTTTGGATACTGAGGTTCCTAGGTTAAA